TTTGACCTTTCAATCAGTCAACGCTACCAAAGAACTGTCTTAAAGGGGTATTCCAGTTTTTGAATAAAGATGGGAACTTTACAGGACAGCAGAAGTGGCCAAGATATTCTGACTTCATTCTCTGGTATGGGTCAAGCTCCAAAAATAGTAACCAACTAAATTTCACATAAATCATAATGCAACCAATAGACTCCTTCCATCAGGCTGCCTGATAAATGCCCACATCTTTCACAGTCTACATCTACAGAAAAACCACCTTTTGTCTTAAATTTTTAGTCTCCAAGCCAGACTTTAAAAGCACCTGTCTTCTCAAGACTAATAAACAAAGCCTTAAGAATAAGGTGTCACTCCTCTTTAAACTTCCTGTGTAACAGCTCAACACATTGTTACTTTGAAAAGGATGTCATCCAGCCTCTCTCAAATTCATCAGTTTCTGTCGTCCTCGCTGGCTGAGTTCATGGTGGCCAGATTATAATGTCAGGATCCACGAGTAAAGCTGCCAATAATGTCATAAGCATAACACTGTCTCTTTAATCAGAGCACTGGACTGAAACACACGATAAACAATACAGGAGTCTGATTCAACATGTAACTCTCAGGTCGATAATCCAGTCCAGGGTCAGAGCCAGCGCCAGCAAACTCACACATCCAAGGTATCCACGAAAAGAATGGTCAGTAGGGGAGGTCCATAAGTCAGTGCACAGAATCCAAACAGAAAAAGAAGGGTTAGGCAGTATTGGGTAGTTAAAAGGAAATCCAGGGTCAGAGCTGGAACAACAGGCACTGGAGAGTCTGAACATAAGTTAGAAAAATCTGGCAGCTTCCTGGTGGGAGGAAGCTGCCTATAAAGAGGTGAAAACAGGTGCAAGCAATTGACAATGATTTGGGTAAAGAGTCCATAGCTGAGATGAAACTGTAACAGGAAGTACTGTAGTGTCAAAATAAAAGTTTGAGACCGGAAGCAGTGGAGCAGAATCATGACAGTTCTCTGCAGACACAGACTAAAAATGTGACAATATTGGCCAAGTGACAAGGTGACATTTTGACATTTGAGTTTTCCCAAGTCAATTATGAGCAAGTCCCACATATTACACACTTAAAGCGTTTGTGGCCGTCAGAGAGTGTGAACCTGATGATGATGGCAGCTGGGCAAACACCAGTGACGACCTCTTGATCGATGACCCCCTGGAGTTCCTCAGCATGGACAGCACAGCCCGAGTCTGTTGGCTCGCTTCCATCCATCGCTGGCTCCCCCGGTTCTCCCATTAACCCATCAGTTGATATGGATGCCTGCAGAAATGAGCCCCCTCCAGCATAGCAACACGCTCCCACCACCAGCCAGCTGCTGGAGCTCTGGTCTGCGATCTGCCTGACATAATTAAAAAGGCAGCAGATTGCAAGGGGATTCCTTTCCCACCGGAGGCTCCGGTTCTTCCCTCATCTGACATGATGGGTGATTTCTACTGGATGGAGCAGCAAGCCAAATGCACCCCTGTCTGGCCTGAGTTTCCCACCATCCGCCCATTCTTATTGTAGGCGGCCAAGTGGCCTGGAAGCCTACATGCTCTGGTCACTTGCTTCGAGCTCCTCACTAGGACATTATGACATTAAAGCTCATGACATTAAATCCACTAGGGTGGATTTAATGTCATGAGGCGGGCCTCTGCCAAGAAAGTGGGTACTGAAACCATCCCTCATTCAAGTGCTGTGGGACAGGTTCGCGCAAGATGTGGCAGATCTGTTCTCAGCTCGCAAGAATGTGCAGTGTGCTCTCTGGTTCTCAATGAGCACCTGAGAGAAGCCTCCGCTAGGGGTGGATGCCTTTGCTCATCACTCCTGGCCCAGAGGTTTCATTTAAACCTTCCATCCTGTACTACTGATCCCATGCCTCCGCTCGTGCATACAGGATGAACGGCTGTGCATCATCCTGATAGCCCCAGAGCACACAGGCACAGCATGATTTCCGACGCTGGTGCAGCTGCTGTCTCGCAAGCCGTGGCAGCTTCCGTGGCACAGGGACGTGCTCTGCCAGCTGGTGCATTCAACAGTTTCCCATGGTAGGGCAGTGCCTGTGGGCTTGGCCCCTGAACAGGAGTGACTGGAGAGCCTAGGCTTGCCTCTAGCAGTCATGCATACAATTCAGAGTGCAACAGATCCATCAACAATGGCGTCTTATGCAGCAAAATGGTCTGCTTTTCAGCGGTGGTGCATGGAGAAAGGCACAGCCCCCACGTCATGCCCACTCACACAAGTGTTGATTTTCTTGCAGACCCTGATAGACAGAAACCTCGCTCTGTTTACTGTGAAAGCTTATGCTACAGCCATGAAGGTTCTGGTGAGAAATCTGTGTTCGCGCATGCGCTGGTGAAATGCTTCCTCAGAGGAGTGGGCAGACAGCAGCCTGTGGTCCACTCGGTGACACCACAGGAGGGTCTGCCTCTGGTCTTACGCACACTCAGAGGACCCCTCTTCGAGCTCATAGCACAGACCTCTCTCAAATCACCTTTCGCTGAAAGCGCGGCCCCTCTTAGCCCTGATGTCAGCTAAATCTCACCAGCATGCCTCTCTATTCCTGAAGACGGCAGCTCGGCCATTTTGAGATCGAACCCTGCATATGTGCCGAAAATAATATCTTCCTTTCGATCCAGAGTCATCTCCCTGGATGGTTTCTTTCTTCCCCCACATGGAGTCAAGTCGGAAAGAGAGCTCCATACCCTCCTGTGTGGGCATTGCGCCATCATTCTGCCCGCAGGGCAGCTATCAGGCACTATACAGGCATACGTGTCAACTGGGAGAGATCCCCCATCTGGCATCACATCTCACTCCACAGCACTCTTCAGGGAGATGGCTGTGGAGGACATTTGCACAGTAGCCTCCTGGGCTTCCCATTGTCCTTTTACTCACTTCTATCTTTGGGACACATTCGAATTTTCACTGGCTTATTTGGTTCTGGGTGTGCTGCATGATTGGGAGGCTCCCGCCAACACAGAGCGTGAGCACACACCTGCCACTGGGTGCTGATACTGCATGTGTGTTACTCGCTCGGATGGCTGACTGTCACCTAATGTAACTCTTGCTTGACTGTTCTGTCAATACAAAGTTATTGATGTGTGTGTGTGTCCCTGCAAGCACACACTCTCTCTGTGTCCTCTCCCTCGCACTCCTGTCCCCCGCTGTTGGTCCTGCCTGCCTGAACGTGGCTGGCTACTGACATCATTATTCTTTTGCTGTTCTCCATTCCAAAAAAAGACAACAAAACGAAACACGCATCCAACTGTTACCATGCATGGATAACATCTGCTCTCACAACTCAAGCTAATATCTGTGTGTTTTGTCAGGCGCACACACTCACTGTGTGCACTTATCCTCCTCTGATAAATGTAACAGCCGTCCCTGCTTTCTCACAGTGGCAGTAAGGTTCTATATGGGGCATGATTGTACCTGCTTCTCAGACAACACCTGCTGCAGGAAAGAGGATGGTGTACTTGACTAAATGACTGACTGACTCTTTGAGTGTCGTTGTTGGGGTCTGATACGAACTAAATTGATTCAGACAAATCATTCCAATTATAATAATTTAATATTACAATAACTCAAGGCAGTTCAATAATTTGAAAGATAGGATCAGCCATCTGAGAGGTAGAATCACCATCCCTGCAAAGCAATACAACAAAGTATTAGATAAGAAAATTATCAAAGAATCAGTCATTGTTGGCCATAAGGTCGAGTCAGTCAGAGTCCAAAGTCCAGAGTCCATTCCCCATACCCAGGCCTGGGATCGAACATGCACACACCTCACTATCACAAAAGCATTCTTCTTTTCTCCCTACATCCTTCAGCCTAACTTTTTTTTATTCACAGCTTTCTTCAGCTGTTACGTCAAGTTTCCAAACTTAGCTTCCTGTCTCCACTTTTAGGAGGCAACACCCTGCGATGTACCCAAAAAACAGGAAACAGCTTGGCCAAATTATATAAGCTCATTGTCCAGCTCACATGAACTTAAAAGTCAGCACATGAACATTCTATTCTATTACATAGTGCATATTAACTTGTAACAAACCACTACACAATCTTCTTATCTAATATCTTTCCATGCAGAGACGGTGATTCTGTTCCATACCTTTCAGACTGTTGAATTGTCTTTCAAATTATTGAACTGCCCAGAATTATTGTAATAAATGATTGGCATTTTAGTGATTCATCTGTGAATTACTGTAATTTAGCTCACATCAGACATCCAACACCGTTTTTAAGAAAATATAACCTCCCATTTCTCCTTTCCCCTTTCAAATCATTGAATTTCATTTTTTTTTGTACATGTATATGCTTATGTATATATTGTATTTGTCCTTCAAATTGCCTACAGTCATTCTTCCCCTATTACCTTTCTCCATCAACAAACCAGGACTTGTATAGGGGATGCTGCTCCCTGTCCCCAGCAGCTAGAGCATGCAAGTCTCTCCAGGGTGGACAGCATGTGGGGAGGATGGCCAGGACCGTTTTATATCCCTTAACTATACATGGCATCACTGGACTGCTGACATCTTCTTAGACAAGCTCCCTCCTCTGGGTCTGGGTGCGGCACGCGTCAGGGTGACCACAAGCTATTTCAGTCCCAACTATTAAAACAAACCGTGATGAACAATAAAACACAGGGAAGGTTCAACTTAACCATAACACATGGATGTTGCCATCATGGATAACCTCACCCTCCTGGGCTGCTTCAGAGCTCACCAAGTGGTTGGCCTCGTCTTCTACTGGTGGTTGAGAGTGGGGGCATCACCAGTACACTCCTGGTACTTGATCAAGTGATCGTGTCATTTCATGTTGGGGACGGAAATCATATCCTTTCCACATGTAGTTTTAATTTATAGGCTATTAAAAGCAATGTCTGAAATCACTATCCCTATAGTTTGAGGTATGACAATTACATGTTCCCGTGAGAAATTCTGCATGTAATGAAACTCAAAACAAATGTAGAAATAGTCTGTAGATGCAACTTTGTGTGCCACGAGACATCTTTTAATTTAGCAGTCTTGGGGCAGTAAATCAGCCAAACACTGTTCACATCAAGGCCCTGATACAGATGCAACAAATCCCTCAAGTAAAAACGAAACTGTAGTTTGGCACAGGATTAGCGAACACATTATCTACCCAGGTCTTAATTCAAGCTGATGTTTGTCACCAATACCAGCTGCATTTACATAAAGCTCACATTTTACCACATTCACTTCCTTTCAGCTTTGGAACAGAAAACATTACTGTCATCTAGTGGGAGGCCACAGCAATGTCAAGGCAAGGACCAAGTTTTATTGAGTTAATATAGACACACACACACACACACACACACACACACTCACACAAAAGCACAATACAAGTTGTCAATATGACACATTAAACAGCAGGGCACGAGACTTGAGCTGAAGTGGGTGGCTCCACATCCTACAAGCACAAAACAAGTTAATTCAACATTCTGACATCCACATCACTTGTTACCATTGCTGCCATGGCTCCTCTTACCACTTTGACATCTTCAATAATGACCATGCATTTCTCATGAACTTCAAGATCACTTTCTGTGTCATTATGCGAGCGGTACTCTTCACTCTCCGTCTCTACAGTACTGGGCTGAAAATGGTGTTTAAACAACAGGTTGTCTTTCAAACACTGATGTTGTGGAATTTAATTTTAATGAAATGTTGTGCACTTGTAAGCGATCAACTACTGAAGTTTGGACAAACTATGCAAGATCATTTTTATCCTAATTCAAAGAAAGAAAAGCCAGACAATAGTACTTGAGTGAAGATTTGCACAGAAGACACTATAAAGATCAACCTAACAAAAAACATTTCCACATCAGTTTACAATACACAAAATGGACGAGTGATAGTTACTGCCCCTCCTGAGCACTAACCTCATAGTCAGGATCCTCATCTGTGCCTTCGTCATCAAGGAGATCCTGAGACAGCGCCTCCACCCAGGTCGGATGCGCCTCTTCATCCTCCTCGTCATCCAACTCGTCCTGCTTCCTCTTACTGCCCTTTCCATAAGGTTTAGTAGGAGAGACCCTGATTTCTGTTGGCAAAGGTCATTTTTAAAAAGTTATTCCCCCTCATGTTTCTATGCAGAAACATCTCCCATGCCTCTCATAAGGTCAAGTTTGACTCCCGTGAAAGCCAAAATAATAATGTTGTGAACTACCAGAATATCAAGTTTGTGGTTATCACTCCTGTTTATCATGAAACACTAGCTAAAAGTTACCCCATAGGTTAAAAAAAAAATTGAAAATCAACTTAGGGTTTTCCATCCATGTACTCCATGCTCTACAGACACAGGCGAGAAAGTTTAAAAACCAACTGCAGCATTACTTCTTTGTAATTATAGGCGACTTCAAGGCAACAGTACCTGGGGAGAGGGAGCGCCCAATGCTGCTGGACACTGGGTAGCCCAGAGCGCCCTGCGCCCAGCGGGGCAGGATGGACAGCAGCAGGCGGGTGAGCCGGTGCAGACGCTTGCGGCCGGTGAGACTGTGGCGTGCAGTACTGAGAACCTGGGGGCTAACGAGGGCTCTCTCCTGGGGCTGCCGAAAGCCCAGCACCACCCAGAACCCGCGATATGCGCGTACCTTGAAGTGACAGTTCACGTTAAGTCTTTTGTAAAGCTGACGGGTAAACAACGATAGCATTAGGTGCTGGACGTACCACGGCGCTCAACGGCCAGAAAAGGCCGCGCAGTATGGAGTGAAACAGACCGTGTCTCCTCCCAGCTCTGTCCTACAAGTGAGAAAACAAAAACAGGTGGAAACCACCGTTACCCCAACAGCCAAACACATACGTCCGCATATGTTGATGCAAGTCGACCCAGCAGACACAGTAGAACAAATAGCCACATCCCTAAAACCCACAGCCAGGCTTTATATTGTCCTGAGACAATGTGTCCACATCTACCTCGGTATTTCCGGCGGCGTGCTGCTGCTGCTCCACGGTGCAGGTTTCACTACTCATCGTGCTGCAGGTTTCACTACTCATCGTGCTGCAGGTCAAAGTCTGGTGGGCCTGCTGAGCCACGGCCCGGAAGAGAGACTGAAAGATTTGGCGTGGCTGGATTTCAGAGGCTGAAATGTACTCAGAGATCACGGCTGTGCGTCCAGTCAATGCAATCGTTTGCACCTGGTGCAGTCAGCGCGCGCTCCCGCCAATTAACCTGCAACAGGCTCAAGAGTGGTCACATGACCGATTTTCGAGATGAAATTTAGTTCTATCAGAACCAGGAGATAACTTACATCCATTTTAAACATTTTAGTAGTGATGTCCAAAGGAAGAAATGAACCAGTATCGAACCACTTCATCAAACATGTTCATTCATTCAAAGATTTGTTTCAGTGAAATCTAGTGGTGAAACAGGAAACAGCACAACAATGTCTGAATTATGTGATGGGTGTAACTAGGCTTTGTGTGAATGATGTAAATACATGTTTGCAAAGACTGATTGATTGGTCGGTTTATTCTAGTAGTAGGTAGGAGAAGACGTGCTTGGGGAAACAGAGGATGTGCTAGGATGGTAGGTTGTGCTCATTTAACTAGGACAGGGTGTGATTATGTACATGGGATGGAGATTCAAAGATTTTTATTGAGAAACAATAGTTTTTCCACTCTTCGAGTTTGAAGCTTGTATTGGAGCATCGGTTTCAGATGGCCATCACTACGTTTTAGTGATATGAGGTAACTGAAATCATAAAACTACCTGTTTTACCACCCTGGTGTAGATTGTGGATATCCGAACCGAGCACGACGGGACCTGTGGGAAGAATTGTATAAAAGCTGCCTGTCATCGGTCCTTGTGCCAATCTACAACCAAGCTTGTGTGCAAAGATAATGGAAGATGTTTAGACATGAACAAGAACACAGTCACATGGACCTTCAGCATCAGAGCAATTTACAGTGCAACCAAAGCAGGCAGGCACAGCAGTGCAAGGATCTGTGCACTCTTGTGACCAGGAGTGCAAGGTCCTTTGGGTGTTTTGCTGGATCTGACTCCCTGACAAGCTGGGAAAAATGTTTTCCAAATATCCTAACACCTGGCAGCATCCCACAGTTCACTCTACAATGACTGTCTGTGGAGAAGGGCTTAAGATCATTGGACAAGGAGACAGAGACAGAGGCAGATTATGCAGAGTCAGATGACTGCCTGGGGCATTCTGCAACTGAGTACAGTACCTGTTTCCCCTTCTGGTTTCACTCTCTCATTATCCACATTATTCTCAGCCTTCAGTTTGGCTCTGTCAGACCGCAGAGCTGAGCAGAGTGCCTCAGACCCTTTAACCCACAGGAGGTCTCTGTTCCAGAGGGAAGGGTCTTATCCATGCTTCTGCACTGAGGCAGTATGATTAAGCTGTGAAAACTTGTGAAAAATGTGCCGTTGTGGTCACATTACAAAATAAAACAACATAAACAGACTGCTCTAGCATTGTGTGATTATTATGTTTTTGTTTCAAAGTTCCTGTTTCTACCAAAAGTAGTTCACTTTAGAACAAAATCTAACTCTTGTGGGAAGGAGTGTGAAGGGTCAGGCCACCTTTAAGATTTTCCGAACAGCCTGAGTGACCTCACATCAGTGGTGCGTTTAAGGTTAATTAATTCCTCCACCACTTTCATGATCTTAAATGTCAGCCCCTCTCAGGCTGCCTGCCTCTATTCTGCAGGACTGTGCTGACGCAGGCACAGAAACTGAGCAGCTCTCACCGCTCCTTATCATATGAAGAGGTTCAGTGGAGAGGCCATTAAATAATGGCTGCTTAATGCATCCTTGTAGCCTGTGTCTTCAACAGTCCAGCACACTGAATGTTAATGGTTAAATATCTTTATGGCACAGAGTGCGCCTCTCTAAGCAAAGGCCATGGAAAATACAATAGGTTTCCTGAACAATAGGTTAAGGTGATCTGGATTTATAATCAGTCGTTATCTTTTTTTGTGTATGACATAGTGTAAGTGGTTAGAATGTTTTAAGCCCTGTAAAGCTTTCATTGAATTTGTTCAGTTCAGTCACTTAATAGCAAGTTGCATAAGTTATGTATCTTCAGTATATCAGCTTTATCTCCAAATTGAACTGCACTGTGTCATACTGAGAGGTGGAAGGTTAATTTACTGCAGTAACCTAATATAAATTTAGTGACTAAAGTCGTGGAAACACTTGTCAGTAGAATGCAATAAAATTCAACAATAACACAAACTACATCTTCCAGAATGACTATTTCAACAAAAACATGAAGGCAGAGTTTAGCTTTTTTGCATTAATTTTAGTTAGTTTTACCTAATTAACTCATAAATGAGTGAGTATATTTGTTGTAAATTTAAATGACTAATTCAAGGAACTGGACTCAACCTATGTGCAGTTCCTTCAGTCCTGCGTCCATTTTGTACATTACATTTTAGAGGAACTGTGCATTTTACTCTGCTACCTTTGTTATTGTTAACAGTGTCCTTAGAGATGAACAATTTAACCAGCTGTTCCCGACCACTTTTGGCTTGTGACCTCCTATAAAAAAGCAGCATCTGATTGGGGTCTCATTTTTTACCTGTTCTGTTTCAACAAAAAGATATTTAATTAACAGTTTGAGGCACAAATAGATTAAATTGTCTAATATTTCTCAAAAAAGCAAAAAAACAGAGAAAGGTCTAAAAACCAAACATACATGTCACAGAACTTTGTTTTTTCTGTTCTTTCAACTACCATGAATTATCTCATGGCCAATCACATTTGAATTTGGCTCCTAGGTTGAGAACTGAGGACTAAACTGCCTTAGCAGTGAAAACCAGCTCCACCTTGACCTGCTACAACAGTAAATGTGGATTACACATCAGTGCCTCAGTATTCACATCTAATTGTGTCATATGTAATAATAGTGTCAGCCACAGAGTCATTGTCTGCAGGATGACTACTTTTGATAACTTTTAATACTGTAAGTATGTTTTTCTGTTAACATTATGTAGCTTGTTTTTACTTTAAGTCAAGGTGTCTGCTGTGACAAAGGCCTATTCAGTTTAAGTTTCACTTCACTTTTCCCCTGGTCATTCCCAGACCTTTGTGACTTCTGAAACAGTGTGACACACAGTGTGTGGAGCAGATGACTCAATCTGTTCCTCTGATGTGTGCGTACTTCCCTGTTTTCTGTTCTCAGGTGGTAGTGAAAATTCTAAATAAGCTTATTTAGTTGTCTTTGCTTAAGAAAAGCCAGATACACTGAAAGTCATATGCAGCTTTTTTTGAGAAAACTCAGCTTCACTTTATTAGGCTGTCTTACATATGGTTTTGCACATTCCATTATCAGTTACAACATATTCACACAATGCCAGTGTTTTTTAGTGAGATGGTGACTTTTATGACTGTTAAAATCACCTGACAAACAGCTCTTTAATAGATTATACATGAGTCCTTCTGCAGCACACACTCTGCCTTAAGGATGATAGCACAACTAATGACTGCATTAGACTATATTATAAGCGGGGTCGAGAGTGACCTATCAGGATTTCCAAAATTTGTCACTGCACTTGTGTGGCTTTCTCACACTGTCTATAAATAGCAACATGGTTTGGGACTTTGAGATCTTTTTGTTAATTATACATTTTAATACCACTTGCAATTTCTGTAGAGTATGGTCCATATTTTCCCACATCCCCATAGTAACAGACGGCAAATCCTACAGATTTTGTGGCTTTAAATGACATGTCAGCGACAGGATGGATTGCTATAAAATTTGGCACAGATATTAATGTCACTTTCTGGATGGGTTGTAATCAATTTGGAGATTAACTGACTTTCCTCTGGTGCCATTATGAGGTCAGTTTTATGACCAAATCCTTGCAAAACGAATAATATTCCCATAAGCCACAGCTGTACTTTGTGTTTTGTACTAATCAGCAAATGTTTCCATACTAACACACTAACCTAAGATGATGAGAATGGTCGTTGCTGGCACACTAATGTTAGCTTTTACCTCAGAGGACGGAGTTAAGGAGGATTAAGGCCAGGGAGGCCACAGGCCCTGACCACATCAGCCCCGGGGTCCTCAGGGAGTGTGCAGACCAGCTCATTGAAGTGGTCCTGTACATGTTTAATCTGAGTCTTAGCCTGGAGAGAGTCCCAGCCCTATGGAAGACATCCTGTGTGGTTGTGGTTCCTAAAATATTTCATCCTAAGGAGTCAAACCATTACAGACTCGTTGCCCTGACCTCCCACCTGATGAAGACCATGGAGAGGATTGTCCTCGGCCACCTCCGTGCCCAAGTGAGCTCAACCCGTTGCAGTTTGCATATCAACCTGTCATCGGGGTACATGACGCTATTACAGTGGGGCAAATAAGTATTTGATACACGGCCAATTTTTCAAGTTTTCCCAATTACAGAGAATGGACAGATCTGTAATTTTCACCGTAGGTACACCTCAACTGTGAGAGACAGAATCTACAAAAAAATTTCAGGAAATCACCGTTAGATTTTTAAATAATTTATTTCCATTTTATTGCATGAAATAAGTATTTGATACAATAGAAAAATAGAACTTAAAATTTGGTACTGAAACCTTTGTTTACAATTACAGAGGTCAGACGTTTCCTGTAGTTCTTGACCAGGTTTGCACACACTGCATACAGGTCTTCTCCAGATCTTTCAGGTTTTGGGGCTGTCACTGGGCAACACGGAGTTTCAGCTCCCTCCATAGGTTTTCTATTGGGTTCAGGTCTGGAGACTGGCTAGGCCACTCCAGGACCTTGAAATGCTTCTTACGGAGCCACTCCTTAGTTGCCCTGGCTGTGTGTTTGGGGTCATTGTCATGCTGGAAGACCCAGCCATGACCCATCTTCAATGCTCTTACCGAGGGAATGAGGTTGTTGCTCAAAATCTCGTGATACATGGCCCCATCCATTCTCTCCTCAATACCGTACAGTCGTCCTGTCCCCTTTGCAGAAAAGCACCCCCAAAGCATGATGTTTCTACCCCCATGCTTCACACTTGGGATGGTGTTCTTGGGATTGTACTCATCCTTCTTCTTCCTCCAAACACGGTGAGTGGAGCTGACCACATGACCTTCTCCCATGCGAGCAGAGGGACTTTGCGTGCGCTGCAGGATTTTAAGCCATGATGGTGTAGTGTGTTACTAATGGTAACCGTTGAGACTGCGGTCCCAGCTTTCTTCAGGTCATTGACCAGGTCCTCTCGTGTAGTTCTAGGCTGATCCCTCACCTTTCTCACAATCAGTGATACTCCACGAGGCGAGATCCAAAGCAGAGTACAGTGCCTTGCGAAAGTATTCGGCCCCCTTGAACTTTGCGACCTTTTGCCACATTTCAGGCTTCAAACATAAAGATATAAAACTGTAATTTTTTGTGAAGAATCAACAACAAGTGGGACACAATCATGAAGTAGAACGAAATTTATTGGATATTTCAAACTTTTTTAACAAATAAAAAAACTGAAAAATTGGGCGTGCAAAATTATTCAGCCCC